GGGATCCTGGAGGATCTGTGGAAGCAGAGGAAGAGAAGTTTTTCATCTGCTCTGTGGTTCCCTAAAGTTGGAAAAATGTGTACCCCAAGTGTTAAAGCTTTAGCACGGACACAGCCCCCAGATTCTGCCCCAGTTTGCACAGGGAGAAGTCCCCCACTCAAACACTGCAGATGCTGGAGGTAAGAGGCTACTTGTTACTTTTATCAAATGTTTCTCCCACTAGATTGTAGCCAAGAAATTAGAGACCTTGCTTTTTGAAATGCCAGTTTCTAGTATAGTGTCTCTTCTAAAGAGAATGTCCAATTTCTCTACTGTTTTGGGTAAACAGAATATGAAAAGACAGTGTGTGCCAAAAAATTGGCTCAAGTTTTCCAGAAATGTGTTAAATGTGTATGTTTATGCTGAGATATAAATGTGTTATACACATGTGTGAGAGAGCTATACTGGAACATGCTGGATCCTTCAATAGCATGATTAATCCAATATATCTGTTTTCACAGTCTTAGTTTCTATCTCTTTCCAGGATGACTAAAATATCCCCCCCCCCCAGGGGTATACCTTCCTACTTCTGATGCCCTCGTTGAAATCAGGCCATCTCCAGTTTTGTAGCCACAGCTGGCTGTTTAAACTCCATGCTCATTTGTGAGCTTAGACATATCTTATAATTACTGTATTTCAAAAGTGATTTGTCTAAGCTCCCAAGCATACATAGATGGTTTCCTGCCCTGGCTCCTGATGACCCTGGTGGTGCTCATTCTGGCTGCTCCATGGTGACCTCTGCCCGTGAAATGCTGAGAAACACCCAGAGCGCCCTGGGCCTGTAGCTGCACTCTGTCCTCTCTGCCAGTGTGTGTCACCTGACTTTCTTCATTCTCCTCCTTTTCTCTGGGTAATCCTGAGCCCTTGCAGAACCAGTTCCAACTTCTTCCTCCCTCCTTGTTTTGAGAACCCTGAAATCTGGAAGAATGTTTTTGGATACAAATGACCAAAGCCTGAGTCTCAGTGGCTCTAATGGTAAGAGGCTTGTTATCTCACTTAAGAAAATCAATTCTGGGGAAGTTAATTCAATGCTCAGAACTGAATTCCTCCCAGTTTTCTGTTCTGCCATCTCAGTGTGCTTTTATCCCAGAGTTTGTTTAGCAGACGTCCCACAACAGGGCATGGAGAAAGTGTTGATCTATGTTTGTATATACATTAGTGTATTCATCATGCATCCAGAGAAACAGGTGTGTGTGTGTGTGTGTGTGCACATGGATTAGATATATATAAACTATATATTCATGCCAATTTGGGGTAGGGATATTTTAAGGAACTGGCTACAGGATTATGGAGACTGTCATATTTGTAATATTTGGTGTAGGCAGCAGGCTGAAGACCCAGGGAGGAGCTGGTATTGCAGTTCAAAACTGAAGTCTTCTAGATGCAGAAGGGTCCTTGGGGGCCCTCAGTAGTTCACTCTTAACACCTTCAACTGCATGGGTGAGGTTCACCAACGTAAAGGAGGGTAATCTGTTTTACTCAAAGTCTACTGATTTCATTGTTAACCTCAACTAAAAATTCTCTTTACAGGAACATCTAGAATTATGTCTGACCAACTATCTAAATACCATGGCCTAACAAAATCCACACATAAAATTCACCATCAAGATCTCCAAATCAGTTGCTGGCAAGAAAGAGTGAAATCTCTCTTTAAGAATAGCCTTCTGGCCCTCCCTGGTGGCGCAGCGGGTTAAAGCACAGCACTGAGAATCTGAAGCCACTTCTGCATGAGTTCGATTCCCGCCTGCCGCCTGCCCCGGAGGAGACCACATGGCGAGCCAGACCTCTCCTGACCCGCCCGCTGCTTCCCTCAGCAGTGTACTTCATCGATCTGCCTGTTCTGCTCCCCACTCTGTCTCTGGTGAAGCCTCTCACCGCCCCTGAGCCTCTGGCCTGTACCCCAGTTCTGTATGAATAAATAAATAAAATCTTAAAAAAAAAAAAAAAAAAAGAATAGCCTTCTGGTCCTGGGAAGGCCAAGCATGTGGTTGTGTGGAGGGTGAACCCTCAGACAAAATCAGAGTTCTGCCTGCAAGTTATGGGTGATGGTGGATGAGGGTGAGGATCTCAGCAGGTCAACCACAGCATCAGTTAAACACTGGCAGGCAGAATCACCACATGGCCTTCTCTCTATGTTGCATAAACACCATTATTAGAGCCTCTGTTGAGTCACAGGTTTATGGCTCATCTTCCCTTTAGACCCTTAGGTCTAGTTTTAGGTTCACCCTTCAATGAGAACCATATGATAGTCACCTCTTAACCAACAGCCCACACAGTGCAAGCCAGGTGATTGTCCTTAAGTTGCCAAACTCACCAAAGTGGGGAATTCTGTTGATACATCAACCTGCTGTTTGCACTCGCTATAGACATCATATATGTTCCCATAAGTCACAGACTCACAATGATTATGCCAACTGGCAGCTATTTCTAGATATTCTTGTAATGATTGCAAGGGATAGTAAAACTGGTCCAAATAGTCAAGTCACAGGAACTTCTCATTCACACATCCGTAACCCGAAAAAATCCCAGTAGCAAAGCAAAGAGCAAGTTTAACCTTAAATTCAAGCAATGATAATACAAGATAAAGAGCTATGCTATGCCCTGAGCACCAACTCAGACAAAAGTAGGTCATCTGGAGTTTCAGGTGTTACAGCCTGAGGTACAATTTCTTAATTCACAAATTCTGTCGAATCTTATCTTTTTTCCCCCCAACAGAGTTGGAGTCCCAAAAGTTTGGGAAGTGAAATCCATAGGTATCTGTCTTCTTTACGAGGATGCCAATGGGTTTCAGGTTTTGGCACTGAGGGCCCATCAGTATACGGGGCTACAAATCACCCAGCATTTGCCATGCACCTTCCAAGCATCAGGAAAGACCATGCTTACATTATTACATTTTCCATTACATTATTACATTTTCCAGATTTTAGCTCTCTGCCTTTTCTCAAGCAGAGAAGTATCAAATATCAAGTCATGTTGATACAGTAGGAGTTATTTCAACAGATACTGACCTGTCCTGACTCTCACCAGGCACCAGACATAACCATGAGCACTTTACATGCATTATGTAACTTAATCCTCTCCAAGTCTCCCCAAGCAGACCTGGTCTTTATCTACGCTTTGACAGAGGAGGAAGCCTCTGTCAAGCCTCAGAGGTGGCTGAGAGTGGGCAGGCAGCTGGCTGACAGTGCCCCCTCGGAGCTATGGAATCAGATTCCACACTGTTCTGTCTGATCCCTGACTTCAGGCCCAGACCACCACACCTCCCTGCTCCCCAGGGAGCAGATTTCATCCACATTATCTCATGTAAAGCTGGGAATGAGGGCAAATTAAATCCTTTCAAACCAACACATGAAGAAGGGAGAAAAATTCTTTCCCATGATTGTCTGAGGCAATTGGAACCTCAGACTTGTAAAGAAAGAATGTGTTAACAGAAGGTGAAATGTAAAAAAGGGTTAGGCAGAAAAGCAAAGACTTAGTGTAACCTGGATGGAAGCCCTTTGGCAGTCTGATTCGATAATCACAAAGTATAAGAATATAATTACAAATGCGATTTATGAGTTATCTTGTATATGAGTAGCAGATTGCTCACTAAAGAGCAAGAAATACAAGCATTCCCCCCACTGGAAAGGTCCACCTCAGCTGTAATTACAAAATGCCATGGGTCCGTATCATGCCAAATGAACATAGCTCATGTCAGTTAAATTGTTAAGGTTACTATTAGAAACCTGACCATTTCTGGGAGAATTAATCAAGTCCAGTTTCTATAACTATTTGGCCAAGGAATAAACGTCCCATAGTAGATTAGTCAAGTTAATGACATCAGTTTATGAGACTATTTGGCAGTCAGCTGGTTTTTTCCTGGGTCACCCGTTGTCCTGACAAGGACTCTCTCCTCCCATAGGGAAGTCCCAAGAGTATTACTGAGGAAAGTCTGCTCAAATCGTGCAATTCACAAGCTAGCTCTGCTTAGAGGGGTCTCCCCCCCAACTTTTTTTTTTTTTTTTTGCTTAGCTCTGCACAGCACAACTGATGCATGAACTTGACAGAAGACAGAAAAGAGATAGTAGCCAAGAATGAGCCAGGTCACCTGGAGGACACTGTTCTTCCTACTTGCCACAAAGACCTCATCTGACACTTGGGGTTCTCTGTTCTCAGGGACTGAGTGGAGACCGCACCTTCACTTCTCTTAAGAGCTTTATTTCTCACTCTCTCACATCTAAGCATTAAAAATGCTTTGAAATGTCTTACCTACTTTCCCTTACAACCTTCTTTTTAACAATCTTATTCTTTCCCTTCCACCTCTTCCTACTAAAGTCTTCACACAGCAGGAGAATGAGGACCCAACTGGGGTAGCAAGAGTGGGAGAAGACAAGATGTCTGTACTCAAGTCAAGGTAGGCTCTGGTCCCACCTTATCTTGGCATGCTCCCCCACACTGATGTCATCCACTCTGCCTATTGTTTATAGCTGCTGCTTGGCTAATTCTGCTATGTCCTGACCGTGGATGTGGCTAAAGTGATATACGTGACAGTGTGCATCCCAGCAAGCCTTGCTGCCATGATCAGTTTTTCTAAACTTCCTATTTCATTAATGCCAAGAAATGGCTCTTCTTCAGTTACCAAAAATCAGCAGACAATGTCAACCATCAAACCATCTGCTCCTTGGCTGATTCACCTATGGATAGAAGTATCTTGGGATACAGGATCACACAGAAAATGTTGTCTTGGTGAAATTTTTACCACTCACTTAATAAACCTTTTCTTGATGTACTGATGAAATATTCATCTGATACCTAAGTCAGACTGTGCCATCTTTTGAGATCATACTATGTCATGTACATGTAACAAATTATTTCCAAAATTCTAGGAATTGTACATCGATATTTAACACAATTCATCCAGATAATCTATATCATTCAAATTCTTTCCTTAAAAATAAAATAACAAGAATAACTGTATTTACCTGGAACAAAGCTTCCCTGAACCACCTCCTTGTATGCCCACCAGCCTTCATGGATTTTTGGTGAATTCTGTTGAGCTAAAGAAAAGACAAAGGAGAAGAGAGACTAAGATCACAGCAGAAAAGTAGTATCTCTTCACTGCTCAAGTAAGACAGGTGAATACATATAAAATAATCCTTGACAACTCAAAGGTCAATCACAACCCCCCTTTTATTTTCAAATAGATAGCATGTAAATGTACTATCATAAAGTTTCATCAAAAGCTGTTAAAGAGAAGTAGGCAGTCATTACATAGTTACATCTATTTGAATTCTCATGTCACTTGTTTTCCACTGCTCATCTGACTCCTGCACATATACACACACACACAAACACACACGTGCACACCCGCACACACACACACACAAGCACATCCACACACAGTCTGCTGGCTTTGGCGGAGGAGGTAAGCTTGTCCACAAGCCTACTGAGGACTCCTGCATGGGACTCTTAGGAGGCAAGGGTTAGCTGAATGAACAAAGCTAGAAGAGGGAGGATATAATCTGCCACTTTCCTCGTATCCCAGGAAAATGAAAACCATATAAATAATTGTGTTGAGGATTTTGACATTGTAAGATGAAAGGATGGAAAGTCCAAGAAATTGAAACATATTATAGAAATTGGTGTTAACATGAGCTCAGGATAATCCTTGACATTTATGGTAACTGATATAAAGACTTGTCCAAAACCATTATATACCCCAGAGTTTAGTACCACGTAAATTTATCTTTATCCCTCTGCTAGTTAAAATACATTTATATTTCAGCTCTCAATTACACTGGAACAATAAAAAGTGTTAAAAACAAAACACAGGGACCCTCCCTGGTGGCACAGCGGGTCAAAGCACAGCACTAAGAAGCTAAAGCCACTTCAGCATGAGGTTGATCCCCGCCCCGGAGGTGACCCACATGGCGTGGCAGACCTCTCCTGACCCGCCCACTGCTCCCCTCACCAGTGTACTTCGTCAGTCGGCCTATCCTGCTCCCCACTCTGTTTCTGGTGAGTCCTCTCACTGACCCTGCACCTCTGGCCTGTACCCCAGTTCTGCATGCATAAATAAATCTTAAAAAAAAATAGGGCAGGGCCTAAATGGAGTCCCATTACCAGATGGGGATTTCTAGTGCTCACTTTCTCAGATGATGTATCTTACAGCAGTCAATCAGGAATGTTGTGATTAGCACAAATTAGTTAGGAAATCTGCCTGATAGGCACTGTCCATCCTCCAAAGGAAAGGAACCTTGTAATAACAACCAAATTTTTGTCTGGGTACCTCCTTTCTGAACTATAAAAGACTATATAAGTTTTTCTTACAGCTCCTTTCTATCTGCTAGATTGGATATTGCCTGATTCAAATCAATTCTTGCTCAATAAATTCCCCAAAATTAAATATGCCTCAGTTTATCTTTTAACAAAGGCAATTTCCACTATACGTGCAATTTGACAATATAACAAATGTTAAGCCTTTACTTGAACTTCCTTCTTTAAACTTGTTCTTTTGTCCTTCATGCTCATCATTCTAGATTAGAGAGAAGAGTTTAAAAGAATAGGTTTGAAAACAAAGCTCTGTACAGAGAGAGGATTTGCTAAATTCCTTTAACATCCAAAGGATTGCTTAACTCCAAGCATCTCCCCATATCAGCCTCTTGAAGGAGGCTTATCACATAGGTTGAGTAAAAGAAAAATACAGTCCTTCTAGAGCTGATATTGGCACCAGGGGAATTCAGAAACATATAGGGAAGAAAAAAAAAACTATTTAAAGTTAAGGAACAATGTCACCTTCTAAGTTGCCCAGCATAATCTAGGGTGTGGAGGCATTAAGTGTTGGATTTCCTGCATTCTGTCCCCCAAGTATGCACAGAGCCCAGATGTTCCCAAAACCAAGGAGACCCTGGAGGCCACTGTGCTGAAAGTCAGTGCATCTGTTTCGGGGCAGCAGGCAAAGAGAAAAATAACCTCAAAACAAGGGCTAGAGAGAATCTGTCTAGTCAGGGAGTCAAGTGAAAGATTCAACAGAGAATCCAGGTGTCTAAAAACCTTCAAGTCAGACCAAGTCAGGAAACCAGATGAAGACTGATATGGTAGCAAAGTTCACTAACTCAGTAAAGAGATAATATCTCTTGGTTATAAAAAGGATCTCATTGTTCTTTTAGGCTTTGACACTGCATGGTCCTTCTTCAACCTTCCTTCTAGTTATGGGGTGGACATCCTGGAAGTGAGATGTAAAATTCAGATATAACCTAATGTACTCAGACCCAATGGCCTGTGTTTTTTTTTTTTTTTTAACAAACTCTTTGTAATGCTCGACTTGATAATTTAAATGAAATTCAGAGAATATCTCACATACACACACAAAAGCTGGTATCTCACTTCAACGGAGCTTCTGCCTAGCAATGCTGGGCAGGGAAAATGTCCCAAGTCTGGCAAAGATACACATTTCTAAAAGCTTGTAAGGATTGAACTGCAGACATCATCTAACAGCTTTGCATCAGAGATAAGCCAGGATTGATTTTCCTTATCAAAGACAGGAACTTCTGGGTTTTATCAAAACTCACCAATTCTTACCCATCCAATCAGGATTGTTTACAGTCCTTGGACAATTTAACCATCAATACCACCTTCCTTCCTTATTCTCAGAGCCTGTTAGTGGGAAAGCCACATCCTCTTGGCATATATTCCATTATTCCATGTACAGACCTGTACAGCACTAAAACATTTCTGTTTTACATTAAATTTTTTTACCAAGTTGTTTTACAAAAATTCTTGTTTATAGCATTTATACACATTTGTTTTAAAGAGCCATCACAGTGCTTAATTATGGCTGTAATGCATAAACATAGTGCCTTAATTATAAAGTAGACAAAAATGCAATATAATTGCTAAGAATATGGATTTCAGTGTGTAAATGCTTGAGCATGAGGCCCTAGAACCGAGTGCCACGTATCTCCTGCTAGCCAGAAATGACCCATTCCCTGTTTCTGTGCCACCCAAGAGCTATGAATGGTTCCAAATTTCTAGATAATTTAAAAAAATGAAAGAATCATAATACCTTGTGACATGTGAAAATTATTTTCAATACAAATTTCAGTATCCATCAAACATTTAATTGGAACACAGGCTTGCCATTTCTTTATTCACATATTGTCTACAGCTGCTTTCTCACTGCGATGGGTTGAATAACGGTGACAGAGGCAATTTGACTAATGTATCCTAAAAAGTATCCTCTATGGCTCTTTACTGAAAATATGTGCTGATTGCTCATTTACACACTAAACTTAAAAAAGCAAATGTAAAAATTAGCATATAAAAGAAAAAGGGAACTCTTACATTGTTGGTGGGAATGTAGATTGGCCCAACACATACAGAAAGAACTGTGGAGATTTCTCAAGAGACCCAAAATGGATCCACTGTATGATCTAGCAATTCCACTGTTAGGTATCTATCCAAAGAGTACAGAAACACTAATAAAAAGAAATATCTACTTCCACATTTACAACAGCACTATTCATAATAGCCAAGATCTAGAAACAACCTATATTTCTCAGACAGGTGAATGGATCAAGATGATGTGATGTGTGTGTATGTGTGTATATGTGTGTGTGTGTGTGTGGTATACATGTATGTATGTATATGTATATATACACATGGGATGTATATATGTACACATATATACAAATATGCAATGTATATATAGATATATACATATATGTGTTATATATGTATGTATATACATATGCATATATACATGTGTGCGTATATACATGTGTGTATATATATATACACACATGGAACACTACTCAGCAATCATAAAAGATAAACTCATATCACTTGCAGCAACATGATGGAGCTATAAGGAATTACTCTAAATGAAGTAAACCAGGAGAAAAATATCAGATGGTATCATTTATATATGGAATACAGAGAAACCAAACAAAGGATCAGACAAAGATAAACTTTAAAACCAACACTTGAAAGCAGACCATAAATCTGAGACTTCAGGACGGGGGAAGGGACAATGGTAAAGAACTATGGGTGCTTTGATGGTGAGAAAATTATAGTGACCGCATCTGAGGGGAGAAACCTGAGAGAGGAAAAAAAAAGAAAGGATGTAAAATAAAAAAGAAATTGTTTGAAAAATTCATACAAATTGAAAGTGAATAATAAAAATAATCAGCATACTCAATGGAATGTTTTAACTCTAATATAAAGGGAAAATACAAAAAACATACTTAACAATCAAATATTAGACATTTCACTTATAAGTCTTTGGGCATGATGCACTAGTACATAAGATGAAGAAAATGGCTAGTTTGATTGAAACAGGTACAAATCATACTGTTGTGCTGTGTTGGAGACCCTTTTAGAATCCACAGGGCCATGCGTCTCATGGTAGGATCTGTCAAAATGTGAGAAACCCTTGGCAAAGTTTGGAAGAAAATGAAGTAATACCTTCCCTTGATTTACACAATATCACATGACTGAAGAACAGGTTATATTAAAATTAGGTAAGAGGTATTTTGTGTCCATATGCCAAATGATATTTATAGGCTCTGGTAAACAAAACAGTTTTTCATTCACTTGAGTGTCTGCTGGGACATGAAACAATTTATCGCTGTTTGAAACTGTCTGATATATTGCAAAGCATATTCTCAGTCTCCCCTTGGCCACCTTGGCCAGTGTTAATTGCAACCTCCTTCATTAAAACTATGTCAAGTGCCCTCACCCATTTCCAAAATGCTCCCCCAGCACAGCAACATCCCTGTTGACAATTGCTGATCTAAAGGGGATATTTGCAGGATCAATTATACATACTAAGTAAGACAGAGTGAAACCATTATGTTGAGCACCAATCAGAGGATGAAGTTATCTAGACAGATAAGACACATCTTTCCCTCTATTTCTGAATCGTACCATTGAATACCTTTGCCACTCAGGTACACACACACACACACACACACACACACACACACACCCCTCTAAAGAAGACCTATCAGTCTGACCAAAGCATCAGTTGAAGAAACACCAGTTAGGCCCTCCCTGG